TTTCCCCTCACATGCTCGTACATTCCATGTACTGACGCCATTTGGTCTGCATCTTTTATGATGCAAATACATGTAACCTGGATCAGCATCCAGCGCCCCGTTGATCCAGTTGAGCATTTCAGAGTCATTTGGTGAGCTTCCTTGCTTTTCGGAGGATCCCTTTATTATTGCTTTATAATTTCAGTTGTTAGGATGATCGGGGGTCTTGTCCTGACATCCCTCTTAGTATTAGAGGCTTCATAGACAGATAGTTATTAGTTCATTAGTCTTGATATTTCAGTTGTTTTGATTATAAGACTTGAGTTGCCTTATTGGCTAGTTGAATGTTTTCTTTTATAACATTCTAGTTTATTTCATGACTTATCTTTGTTGAGTAAAGTCTGCCGCTGAGTAGTAAGCCAGGCCAATGGTTCACTTGGGGCCATCAATGGTTCTCGAGTGCCAGTCCCATCCAGGGTGTAGGCTCGGGGCGTGACAATATAGTTGTTGGGCTTCATATATATCATTATATAATTAAAATATTAATATTTAACAAATTAAGTTACCATATTTTGATTTAGTGGAGGGCAAAATAATTAATTTTTTAAAAAATGTTTTTATTTTTATTTTTCTCCTTCAATTTACTTAAAATAATACATATAGATTATTTTAAGTAAATTGAAGGAGAAAAATAATACCATATTTTGATTTAGTGGAGGGGCAAAATAATAATTTTTTTAAAAAAAATGTTTTTATTTTTATTTTTCTCCTTCAATTTACTTAAAATAATCTATATATCATATATCATATGGTTACTTTATTTGTTAAATGTTAATATTTAATATTTTTTTTGAAAAAATATAACTAATTTATTTTTTAAAAGGATAAAAATATCTAAGAATTTTCTATGAATATTTTTTCTTTGAATTTTTGACTTAACACCTTTCCACTTTTAGAATTTAGTGTAATATAATAATAATATTATATAATTACTATTTAATATTTAATTAATTAGCTATTTCATAATATTTTTATTTAGTGTAGGGATAAAATGGTATTTCAACTTTTAACTTTTTTTTGTTCCCACTTTTAGTAATACTAGTATCTGGGCACGTGCTTTGCACGTGTATTCCATGTTAATTTGTTCAAACTTTTTTATTGAGATGGAGGGAATATATAATAGTTAAATATATTGGTTTTAAAAAATGCAAGCTTATTCTTACTAAAATAAAGAAATTAAAACACATATCAATTCTCTCTTTGCATATAAAGTAGAAACAACTGCTTAAAAGTATAATAAGAATATTTGAATGCTAAAATTAAAATATTACATGTCGGAATAATAATATATGTGTCTAAACTTTCATATACAGTCAGAGGCGAATCCAGGATTTTAAGAAAACGGGTGCACCATTGCTAAAGATAAGATAAAAATTTTATAATAACAATAACAAAGCGAGCAAAACATAAAAAAATACTTTACCACAAAAAATATCATCAGTTTACAATTGTACTCGACGAGATTTCATATTTTAAAAACGATCTATAATAGCATCATTACTTACATTTTCAAACATCTCCGCTCTATCTTACAAACTAAACAACCATTAACTCTTGATGATTTCCTATTATAAGTAATGGCAAGTTTTTTTTACAGAAACTCTAAAATTAAAGTGATATATTTTAAAAAAAAATTATTTTGTTAGTTTGTTTATTAAAAAGAGAAATCATAAACAAAATTTTTTTTTTACCTTAATCTTTAACAATGATGATTTTTCTAGATTCTTGACTTGAAGTTGGAGATTTGGAATTGTCTGTGTGGAAAATAAAAGGCAAATTTAAAGAGAAAAAAAAATATTTTTGAAACTTGAAAAGTTGGTGAGAAGGAAACTTTTGAAGTCTTTTAACTTTAGAACTTTAGAATTTCTCTTCTTTTTTTTCTTCTGAAAAACATGTACTCTATTAATTAATAAAAAAATTTGAAGCAAATTGTGGCCGGCTGGGATCGAACTCGGAACCTTGGTGTTAAAATTAAGCTGTCAAACCAGTGAACCATCCAGCGACTTTGAGAACAGGTTCCACAAGTTTTTATTTAATATATGCTTTAATAATTATACAAGTAATATATCGAGTTTAGTCGGATGACCATGGGTTTCGGTGACCCAAATTTAATACATAAATTCGCCCCTGCCCCTAATATACACTGATACATAAACATTGTGCATTACAAAAAAAATTGTGTTGAATTTTGTTTAGTGAAGTTGATGTTAGTGGCTAATCGAACTCTAGACGCCAATAGCTCTAGGTACTTCCCATCCTCTCAAATTGTTGCTTTCTCTTTAAGAACAAAAAAGAAGATGAAATTAATTAATAAATTAAAATTATGCAAGAGCCTATAAAAATGATGAGTAAGAATTTAATAATCCTTTCTTGTTTTTTTATAGCTATATTTCAATTTTCATTCCTTGAACCTTTTCTTTCATTAGTCTACATTTAATTATTCAATGCAACTCTTCCTATTATCCAAACTATTTAGCAATAAATAGCGCACACTTAAATTTGATTAATGGGTAAATCATTAAGAGCTACATTTAAATTGGACTTTTGAATATCTGTCGATTAAAAAATTTCATGTAAATTTAAATACAATTACTACTATTTCAATTAGATTAGATATTTTATTTTAATTAAATATAAGAGAAAAATTGTAATCTAACTTTAAACACTCGTTTTATTTCTCTCCATTTTTATTCATGTGGATGCATTCACCTCAGACTAATATTCTACTTTGAACAGAAACAACACAAAATAATATATACAAATATACATATTCCAAGCCATAATAAATGTCATTATTTTTTATTATGGATACATTCACCTCAGTTCTCACCCCATGAATTTTCGTAACATTTCATTAATTTGACTGGAAACATAATACTCTATCATTATCTTTTAGTTGGAATAGGAATGTCAAAGAGTGTCCTCTTTTTTTTTCTTTTTTTTTTGTGTGTGAATAATTTAGTGATTTTATATTTATGTATATTAATTTTGAAGAGATAATACATTTTTATTATTATTTAATTAGATTAGATGTTGTATTTATTACATTTTGATTTAGTATAAGGGTAAAATTGTAATCTAACTTTGTAGATAAGTGCTTCTCACTTATAGTAATACTAGTTTCTGGTAACGTGCATTGCACGTTTGTTCTTTATTATTATGATAATAAAGTTTTTATCTATAATAGTTTTGAGTTATAAAATGAAAATATTGGTGGAGTCAGGAGTGATTTTTTTTTTTAGAATTGGTAACATGTCACGAGTGAAAATTGTTAACCACTAACTAATAATCTCTTTTACTGCTTATATGTTATATTCGAATTCAATTTCTATTATATGTTTATCTCTTTAAGATTGTTATTGCTTTTTCATATTTAATAAGATACATTTTAATGTTGTTCATATTTGACTTTAAAGTACTCCTTCATATTAAATTAAAAAATTACCTCATTTGTGAATATGTCTTCTTTAGAGATTTTCTCGTTTTCTTTTGTTCGATATTGTTGAGGGAGAAGCATTAGTTATCCTTTTTACCTCGAAAGCCAGGAGACTAAAGCAAAATATAATTTCAATAAGTCATTCTCAAACTAAAGCTATCAAGGAGGCTCTACTTTGTAAAATGCACATGCATTAAGTTATTAAAATCTAATTAAAAATACAATAATCAAATGTTAATCAAATTTATTAAAAATACTCATGTAAAAAATTGCAAAATTGTTGGAGAGACAAATTGCATACCTCATTTGTATTGGCGCAATTTGTACTAAAAGTTTTATTCAACGGTCTGCAAAAGCATCACCTCTGATTTATACCTGAGATTAAAAAATTACATCATAAGTTCATAAAATAAAATTTTAGCAGTATATTTTCATGTGAGAGATCAAACACTTGAACATCAATCTAAGAATATAATTTGAATGATAGCAAAAAATGAAATAAACTAAATGTAAAGAAATGCTTGAAAGAACATATGATAAGAACTTTATGCTCTCTAAACCAAATTCAAATGTACAGTATTGTCATTAGAAGACAAGGTGTAAGACAGGTATAGTGATTTATTGAAAAGTTAAAAAGTCATTTAACTGTAATGATGATTTCTTGAAGAGTTAAAAAGTCATTCAACTTTAATGGTGATTTCTTGAAGAGTTAAAAAGTCATTCAATTTTAATGGCTTCACACTTATAGAATAATAATTAATAATTAATAATAATAATAGTAATAATAATATGCTAATGATAATTAAAAAGTTGAAGGGCATTTTCGTAATTCAACTTTAGACTAAGCACCTTCCCACTTATAATATATTATGATATGATGATTTTTGTTCCCACTTATAGTAATATATGATATGATATGTTTAAGGTGTTAATATGATAAAATTTAAACGGTTTTTAAAAAAGGTTCATAATTTTCTATTATATGAGTATGTATAATTCAAAGTTGAATAATCTATCCATATCTATTTGCCATACAACAAAATACTGAAATTGAACTTAAAAGTATTGAATTATTCTATATTTTTGTGCTCTTTTTATGAAGACGTGCCACTATAATATTCCCACGCGCCTCATAACATTGCAGTCACGCAAGGTATCATGTCAACATAAAAGTAGCACAAAAAGTACATAATAAACTAGTCCGGGTAGTAATAGAATATATGTTGCTGAGATTTTACATGTAGTTTGAGGGAAACTTGTGTCTTATCCTATTTAAATATTATTTTGAAACCACAAATCAAAATTACTGAACTGATATTTCAAATATCTTAGCATATGCCATATCATAGCATCCCACGACTCACCAATGTGGTGTAACAGTAAATATTCTTTCATTTTTAATTAGAAGTTTAAAGGAAGTTATCAGCTCCCTCTAAAACAAAAAGGGTGAAAATTCGCAATGAGCATCAAATAAAGCCCAAGCTATCAGCTCCCTCTAAAACCATCAAGAAAGTTACATTCTTGTCATGTTCAGAGCAGAAGCAGCTTCAAAACGCTCAGAACTCAGGGTTACAGTTTATTCGCAGGAATAAGCTACTCAGTTATCTTACCACTGTCTCCCTAAACCATGAAAAAATGGGCAGAACAAAAAATAAAATAAAAAAGTAATTACTAGGAAGTATGCTCATCCAACCAAGAAATTATGTCACCAAAAACTTGAAGTATCATCTCATCCGGCTCACCCACGAGCAAAGAATGATAAGCATCCTTACAAAGGATCAGTTTTTTGTCCGAACTACTTGCCTTCTCGTACAATGCTTTGCTGATGGATGGATCAGTCACTCTATCATTCTCTCCATGCATTATTAGCAATGGCAGATAGACCTACAAAATCGTAAAACTGTTAGTTATTGTTTAGATATCTTGTCTATCCAAAAAGTATATCACCCTGGAGTGATGACAGTTAGTTAATGCTTTCATGAAGCAGGAAAAAACCAAGTTAAACAAACATCACAAGGATAAAGAGCAACGAAAAGTGACCGAATCAGGTACATTTGAAGTCTAGCATATGAAAAGGTTGTCATCAGTATCCGCTTTCTCCTTTTAACCCCAATTCCTGCCCCCCTCTCGATTTCAGAAAGGAATTTCTGAAGGAGATCATAGTTGTGGACACTTTTCTTCTACAATATTTGTCAAGCAGAAAAAGATGTACCATCTTGAATGAATTACAAAGCCAAAACTAGTGACAGGTATAATGACCAGAAACAGTTAGCAACACCAACAAAGATATGCAGCGAGGACAATTGAGTTTCAAGTTTCCAATCATAAACAGTAAATATGATGATAATCTATACTACGATAAACAGAAAATGAAAACACATGACACCTTATCTAGTTGTTTCTCTAATTCTTGGGTGGTATTCAATAACTCCACTGCAGTTTGTAGACGGGGTTTGTGCTTGTAAGCAATGACATTATAAGCAGCCTGCATGCAGAAGAAAACAGTAGAGAGTACATTATAACATGAAATCCCACGAGATATAAACATGTTGAAGCCGGTGATTGTAATTATTATGTTCAATAAATCAAGCATTTCAAATTGAAAGCCTCCTTATGCAAAAACCTTTTTTCAGGTGAGTGAGAGAGCTAATGGCGACTATAAATTTCTAAACGACTATTGTACTACTAACCTCTACTCTTCCCGTCCTAAAATTGACATATGTCTAAGAGCTGTTACAGAATAGAAAGACCACATACCAGTTCTCTCTTCTTCACATCTCTGATTGTAAACTCTGCTAGATCCTTCTGCGGAACTAGCTTTTGCTTTGGAAGAAATTTTGCTATGCCCACTAGAATTTGTGTAACTAACCATGGTGGTACTATGTCATCTGCAATCTGTACAACAATACCATTCATCACTCAAAACTATGGATCTAATTAAGACGATAACATCAATTAAAATTGAGAATAGTCTCCAGAAACTTACTTTGCACATCGGTGCGAGAAGAACAGCACCGTTCCATGCATCAGGTTGCTTCATGTGCACCTTCAGAGCTACTGCTCCACCCATTGATTGCCCAAATAGGAAGCTTGGTAGGTTCCGTATCTCTGGATTTTCTGCAGCCAGCATTTAACTGTCAATTGCTTTTTCAGTAGTGTGTCAAGTCGAATAAGATGTAATTAGGTTATTTTCCACTACTTGATTTTGGGACCTCTTGCCCAGACGTATATGAGATGACATTTGCCTGGAGAGAGTTCTATTAGGTATACTACATTCATGGAGACATCAGATTTAAGAACTTGGTTAATACAGCCTAAATTTTTATGTTTTTGTCCAATGTAGGACGACATCTGTGTTATAATTCCCCCATCTCCAGAAATGAGCAACACCCTGCATATGGCATACCTAAAAATCTAACTTCTCTGGTATGAAAGATGAATCTATTCTATTTCACTATCCGATTGCCTTAGGAGATGTCACATCATAATGGGACTTGACCAATAATGACCATGTTCCAACATTGTCAGCATGCCCAATGTTCAAAGCCCCTGCTAATATTTAGAAGATCAACTCGAATGACTGACACTAATTTGGTTTCATTCAACTGCCAAAAAAGTTCTCCCTCTGTTCCCGTAGTGTTTACTTAAACTCCTCTCTAGGTTTTCTCAATATAATTCTTGCTTTCCTTAAGGAGATCTAAAGAAATGCTCTCTTGTGTCTAGGGGATTCAACAATTTATATATATGCACATAAAGAAGACTTTTTATATAGCTGCATATATAGTACAATTTTTTGGCGAAGGGGATTCAGTTGAATCCCTTCTGTAACCGTGACTTCGCCTCTGTCCAATTTGGGCCCTCGTATTTCTAAGTATATTTTCAAATTTACTCATTAATTACATACCTAGTGTCAAAGTAGGAGCAGAAATATAGAATAACAAGGGAGGGTGTCTTCTTCATACCCTCAACATTTTAGAATGTGGAAGGAACACACGGGGGATCTGCTGTTCATCATTTAATGCCCTAGTCATCAACATTGCTTGACAAAAATGAAGAAGGATGAGGTAACTTAGCACCATGAGTTATACTCCAAGTTATGAATAAATAATGAATTTGTGAGTTCAAATTTGATTTGGAACAGTAATAGGCAACATGCATTTTTTAAATAGTTCACTCTCTCAATCTTTCTTCTTGACAAAATGGACTATTCATTTATGACCATAATAAGCTGAACACAACATTTTTTTAGAAAGAAAGTGCCAGAAGTTCATGCATTGCTTAGCTCAGTAGAATAGTCTCTTCCAACTGAATGTTTGATTTAAATATTGTCTTTTGTCTTTTCATGCGTTCAAATCTTAGCTTTTGCATTCATCAGATTTTGTTATTCTTTAGTTGGTATATCTTTTCCTTAACTAATTAATTCTGGCTTCTACATTTTACCAGAGTCTCGGACCTATCAAAAGAATCCATGAGATGAAAAAGATGATAAATAAGTTCACTGGGGCAAGTTGTACCTTTCGCCTTCGAGTAATGCTCAATGACATCATCAACTAACTTGTCAAAACTTGGTATATAGCCATGAAGACCTTCTGAAAGACCAAATCCAGGATAATCCATGGCAAATACTCCATAACCGGAAGATGCTAGTTTTCTTGCAATGCCTAAGAAGAAAGACAAGTTTCAGGAACAATCTCCCAAGAAATACTAGTCTGAGACTTAAATACGTGTTTGCCAACCACAAACCTTCAACAAAAAATGTGCATGTATCACCATAACCATGACAGAAGTATACCATGGCTTTGGGGGGGATTGTCTCTGGAAGCCAACTTTTAGAGAAGATCTCTAGTCCTCGAGAATTAACCTCATATGACTGCGCCACCAAATTTCACAGAACTATGTAAAGTAAAACACATAACAAATCATGAATATTATACCAAAATGCTAATATTAGATGCTATAAATTACCATATATTTAGACTCTTCTCATTTGCTTGGCACTACTAGGAAAAGGAAGACAATATCCAGTCATAGTGCATAGTTCAGGTGAATTAAGTCATCTTTCTCAAACTATCCCCTTCATTCCATATTGAAAAAGTTGAGATAACTACCGCCTTCATTCAATTTGTTTCACAAAAATTAGAACTCTTTAACCAAACAAATCTTTCTAGAGTTACTCTCTTCTTTCCCCTTTAAATTTGTATAGCGATACATATTTCATTCACATGACAGAATAACTACATTTAAAGTGATTGGAAACCAAGTTTCATTTGATGTCCTGAAATTAATTTCATACTGCATGGTCCTCCATAATCTTAAAAAAATAAAACCTTCTTGACTATATGAGAAAAAAGATGACTGTATTTTGTCATATTCTAATTCACAATTTTATAAGATTCTTTCATGTCAAGGTCCAATTTTCTTAAGATAAAGTTATAGGTATTAATTGCTTGAGCCGAGGCCCGAGGGTCTATCGGAGACAACCTCTCTACCTTCTCAAGGCAAGGTAAGGCTGCATACACACCACTCCCCCATACCCCACTTATAGGATCACATTGGGTATGTTGTTGTTGTAAGTTACAAGTGTTAAAGATATCGTTGCACACAAAGAAAATCTTGCTGCACTAGAAAAGGCATTGAAGTAACTATGAGATGTCATATTAACTTCATCTAGAATTCAAAGAAAAAAGATGAAAAGAAGGCAAGTTCATAATCTCACTCTGCAAGAAAGTACATGCAGAAGTAATTACACAAGAGATCATTTTGTTTTAGAAAAGAAATAGGATGCTTCAATAATAACTTGAATTTTCAAGAGTGGAAAATGAGGATGTAAGAAAAAAGGTGTACCTCCTTCATCTTCAATCTAGCATGTGGCATCTGCGGGAAAGCAAATAAAGAATCATCAAATCAAATTAAGAACAAGTAACATGACACTTTCTAAAAGGATTCAGTTCCTCATGACCACTATCTGCAGTCGAAGAAAAATTAGAAAGTTGAAGAAGTGTTTATAAAGTCTCAACTGTCATAACTCGATTGCACATACTTAAAACAATTTTTTTATCACACAAATGATACCATTCCTCAGAATACATCAGCCACAAGTGTCCTTTCATTATTTTAAGAATTGAAAGAAGAAAAGAGAACAGAAACCACTTGATTTTCATTGGATAGTAAACTGGGTTAAGGCAATTTTCTTAAAGGTCTTTTTGAGCTAGTAAAACTTTGATTTTTCTGCCCTTTGATTAGGAAAAAACTGTAGTACTGCTGCTTTTTCAATCAGTAAAATGTATTACTGCTGTTTTAATCAACTAATGACAGAAATAGGGAACGGTCGGTCTTGTTATGCCCTTGAATCTAAAGGTCAAACATGAACTTATGCGTTGAGTGAATAGTGAACAACTTAAATCCCCTCTCTTCGAGATGATCTATCTGTAGATGCTTCATATAATCTCGGTGTAATATGCAAGTTATACAATCCTATCAAGAAAAGGGGGGAAATTTAAGCAGGATTGCAGTCTATAGAGCAAGATTTTAGGTTCCACACAACTATGTCAATCCCTTTGAAGTTGACAATAATCAATCTCTTAGTTCTAAGTACGGAACACTTTCTACTTACATCAACAGAAGACAATCTGTTCAGTCAACTAATCAATCAATCATTTTGACAAGTAAAATATCTATTCCACAATCACTTCTTGATAAGTAGCTGCTATGCCTCAATCCCAAACTAGCTGTGTGACCATATGAATTCTCTTATATATCCAGTCCATTAAGTCAGAAGCAATAAAAATCCAATCTTTGAAGCTGACAATGAGTTTTTTTTCAACTAAAAACATAAATATTTACTGTTTACTTTTCTAGCCAGTATACACATATTATACATCTATTTTAGGTTAATTCTTCAATCAACTAAGCAGTACCTTAAAGAGACAATGATCAATTGACAATTGAATATCCTTAAAAGCATCCCTAGCAAGACGCCTTGCTTCCACTTTGTCCATATTAGCATCTATTATCTTCTGCAATTCCTCACTTATACCTTCAAACTTCACTGACTTCCCCATTGCTGCTTTCTCACTCCTTACACAATTGGTTTTCAATGCTACAACAAATAAAAATCAAATCTTGAGAATACCATCAAATGAATGCCTCCTGGAAAACTTGCTGGTTCAATGCCATGACATTATAATAGGATTTCAAGAAATTTTATTTAATTGTATTATTTTCCTTTTTGTTTACTTTTCCTCTGTCCAGCAGATCTTTTTTTGATAAAATAATTGGATTTTCTACAAGAGTAATCTAATATTCCTTACAGCTCTCTAATTTGATGAGAGCTACCTGCTATAGGTATTAATTTAATCAGAATATGGACCTCAACTATAAACGCAACAAGTTATGTTTATTATTTTATTTCTTATTTACTAATATGCCACTCAAAACATGTTTTGATATTATTTTATTTCTTATTTATTCATTTAAATACAATTTAAGACTATTATTAACAGAATATGCACCTACCTCTTTTTAATTAGAAAATATGGCAAAGACTAGATTTTTCGTGTTTTATTAATTTAATATTAAACTTTCCCCTATTTCTTATTTTTTAACTTTCCAATTAAAGTTTAATGGCTACACGTTTTCTTCTTTTTCATTTTTTTTTTTTTATCTATCTTCCTTTTTGAGTTAATCTATGTATGTAGAGAAAAATATTTATGTATTTGACCATATATTCTCTCCATAGCATTTATTTTTGTTACTTTTTATGTAATCGAGTTTTGGCGGCGGAGGTGTTTTCTCCATTGTTGTCTTTAGTTATTCTCAATAGTTCATATTCACTTCATTTTCTTTAGGTTCTATCCGTCGTTTCATAGTAAGTTCTTCTTCAACGGTTTATTTTCAGTTCAAATTTCATCTACGCTTTCTTATCAGTTCGGATTTGGATTTCTATGGAGAAGAGGCTCGGAAAAAGTCCTAGATTTAATCAATCTGTTGTATAGTTCGGTTGTTGTTAAGTGAACTTGGGGTAAAACATACAAAAGCGGCCTTTGGAGTGGTGCAAAAACTGGCAAAAGTGCTCTTAATTTGCACTGATTATTATGGGAAAAAGAAGGATATTGACTGAAGCACGGATGTACGTTGTGTTTTTTGTTATACATTTGGATAACACTTTAATTGGTATTTTTGATCATTTTTATGCGTATTTTTTGTTCATCCATCTAACTATTACATATATTTATTAGTGTATATATTGTTACAATGGTGGTTCCATTGTGGTATCAAAATACAATTTTTATTTAGTTATCTTTACTGAATCACGTAGCTAGTAATGTTGGTATATATTACCAACAATCAATACACATTATACCAACAATTGAAATGAATATATAGGTTTGATATTCAAAAAGGTAAGTTTATGTTTATCTCAGAAAAAATTGTAGTTTATTTTCACCAAGAAAACAACAATATATTAAACAAAGTTTCCTTAAACAAACACCCAAACACCATTGTTATAACATTTATTACTCTGATATTACAAATTAGCCAATAACTTTTCATTTTACACCAATATTACGAAAATCATACTTTTAAATGCTTAAAATATATATTTAATACATAACCATTTATATATATATATATATATATATCAGACTTTACAGAACCATTTTCTTATATAAATTTATAAAAAGCTTTGTTTATATCATTAAATATCTCAAAAAAATATAAATTGTATTTTAATCAAGAAAACAACAATGTGTTATTCAAACCCACAAACACCAATGTTATAACATTCTATATACCAATATTACAAATTAGTAATTCAACATTCACCAACGTTAGTACAAAGTGAAATCAATGTTCTCCAAAATTAACTGAAATTCAATAAAATCATAAAAATATCCAACAACATAAAAAAAAAAAAAAAAAAAAACAAAAAAAAAAAAAAAAAAAAAAAAAAAACCAAAAACAATTATAACACAACAATGTTAATTCAGAGGTGGAAATTTGGGGCAAGTCTTCTTGTTATGCCCGGGTGCACCACATTTACGACAACTGACTTTACACCTTTTTAATTTCCCTTCATTGAATCCCTTCTTACGGTCGTTATTCGGTGGTCTCTCTGGTTGCTTTCTTGCATCGGTAACACTATCTCTTCTAAAATATCTGATGGAATCTCTCATGTGCTTTCGCAAGGCAATGGTTCGAGATTGCATAAGTATCTAGAAAATTTGTATTACTATAATAGGCTGAACAATAATCCTCGCAATGTTTGTTTCTGTATCTGATAGCAGCAACTACATGACTACTTTCATGTGTTACATTACAACTTATTGTTAATCAAAATTCAAAACAATTAGTGAGATTAGTAAATAACTAGTTCATGAACAACATATTACAATTATAATTTGATAAGAAATTAAGCAATATAGATATATAACAGAATGGTGTTTACAATTTAATTCAACATAACAGATTGATTTTTATATTAGTATACAATATGTTTCGTTTATATCAGAAAGCTAATCATGTTGGTATACAAAATGATTTTACCAATTAATTAGTTAGTATAATAGTTATGTTGGTATTTTGGTATGAAATACACCAACACGAACTAAAAAGTGTTTTAACCAATTTAATATTTTTTCTTTAAACTTTCGATGTACATATCTTAAGCCTACCAAAAACCACATACACTACAAACCACAAGATTATTTAACAACAACGAAGTATACCACAAACATTACCATATACACCAAGCAAAGTTGGTGTTTATTATTTATATAAAATATATCAAATTTACCAACACATTATCAAAAAATAAAGTTATACAACAAATTATATTAAAATGATAATCATGTTGGTATACAAAATGACTTTAACTAATAAGATAGTATATCAGTTTGGTTGTTATTTTGGTATGAAATAAACCAACATAAAATATTTAACAATTTAAAGAACATAATTATTTTAAACTTTCGATATATATACCTTAATCTAATAAAATATCTCACACAGTACAAACTACCAAGAAATTTAACAACCACCACATATAACACAAACAAGTGCGCATACACCAAGCTAATTGTGTTTTTTTTATATATAAATTATCTAAATTTAATGAAATACACTAACACATATACCAAAAAAAGAAGAAGCTAAATATCTAAAATATATTAATTACACCATCATACACATCACTAATATGGTCAGATTTTGAATTAAAAATTACGGAAAAAAATATCAATTTTTTTTAATTTCATTTTGTAAACCAATCACCAATTCCGTAGTAACAAATATACATACACCAAACAAATTTGGCGTATAATTATACCATATCAAATACGCCAACGCCATCAAACAAAATACTATTATTGTCAGATTAAAAAAATAATCACAAAAATAATAATAATTAAATACGATATTTAAATCAATCACCAATTCTGCCATGCTCTTTCCACACATACTTGTTGCATCCCATTATCCATTGTGTTGAATTAGAATTGAAACCATGTTCATATCCATAATTGAAAAAACTTTAAGAATATAGAAGGTAGAGTGTTTTGTTTTTGGTAAAATACTAGTTTAATGATGGGAGAGAGAGTGTAACAAGTCAGTCAAATGTGGAAGGTAAATACAAAAATGGGAGAAATTTAAGGAATGAAGAAAATTGTGCCTTATCATGCCTCTATTATTTATTTATTTTTGACAATATTATTTTCTGTTTTTAATGGGAGAAATCGTGGCTAATCAGGTTTCTATATTCCTTTTTTTGATTAATTAATATTATTTTCTGTTTTTGAAAAAAAAGTATTGCTATATTGATGAAAAATAA